TAATATAACTTGCTATCATTGTATACATTTATGTCCTTCACTAGCTGTATACTCTAATATCCTTTTAAGCATGATTACTAAAGTTCTATCTCAAAACTGTGGAAATGCAAAAGAAACACACACACACATCTTCCTTTTCCTCCTCCTTCTCGAACACCTTCTCCTCCCTCCTCCTCTTACTCTTCCTCCTCCTGTATCAATTTTTAGGTTTCATAAGTTATCATAACACAAGTGTCCTCGTACCAGATTGTCATGCAAATATAAATCCAAGAGACAGGAGGGACAAAAACAGATGTCTGTACCCCGCCGTATATATATATATATATATATATATATATATATATATATATATATATATATATATATATATATATATATATATATATATATATATATATATATTTACACACATTTACGTTCCTCTTGTATACCAAAATAGAATTCCATTTTCTTGAAGCCACCTGAATGATTACCTTCCTTGCCCTTGATCGAAAATGGTAACCGTAACATTATATTTGACTTTGTTTTTCATGGAAGGTTTTCAAGGTCGAGAGTTTTGTCGTTCGTCACTACGCTGTCGCCAAGGGATTGGTGTTGATGTGCGTGTAGTGGATCCTCCCCCTACAAACGCTTTTGTCGCTGAGTAGCCGACCCCGCGAATTCCCCAGTGTATGCCTCGTGGTCTAGGTCAACCAGCGCCGCCTTACATGACGGAGGTCAACTATTAAGCCACGCCTACCTCCGCTATTTTCTAATCTGACCTCGTGGTGACCTCTCTCTTCTTCTAGCTGCTAGCCGCAGCAAGCAACACCAACCCTCCTCCGCTGCTGCCTGGCGGCCCTCGCTCCGCCGGCGGTTACGGCGACCCACAAACTTGTCCTCCTCTGAGCACCCTCACCAACCAGCTCTCTCTACTCAACGCTTGTAACCATGCTGCATTGTACATCCAATACAACATGTATACAGAGAGCACATTATGAGTTTCCTTTCTCCATCCCATCCTGAGTGTGAACCAAACAACCTGTTTCCCACATGCGTTCTGTTCGGACTTGTTTAGAGATAGTTTAAGTGAGTCAGTTGGATAAAAGCATCTATGCTGAATTAATGTAAGTATGAGACTTTTTGGTGTGTGTGTGTGTGTGCATGTCATGCCAAGATTTGAAACCTCTGTGAACTTACATTTAAAAAAAAAAATCATGTGAATCTTGGAGATATGTCTCAACGATTTTTTCAACACGTTTCATTAAGTTGGCCTGACACCGAACTCACAGTCCCATAGGCACACTATAAACGACTCCTTCCAACACACACACACACACACTGCCGGCTGTGCACACACACACACACTGTCGGCCGCAGCACACACACACACACATTCGGGTCGGCCGTGGCACACACACACACACCAAAACGTCAGCATGCCACCACCGAACCTTTGAAATGATCGCATGATATTACTGAGCCCTTAAGGACCGCCAAAACAACGAGAAAAAACGTCAGAAATTGATGAAAGCCTGAGGTCGACCACACCCACAAACCTTAAGTACAAGATCAAAAAGAAAAGATTGATGAATAAAATTAAAAACTGTGTCCCCACAGAGATACAAAATCTTTGAGGCCTGGTAAAAAAAAACCCACAGAAAACGCTTATAGTGGAGGACTGTGGTCGCCAACCCTCGGGAATATAAGGACGGTACTATAATTGATTGACATGCCTATTCTTTTACTCCAGAAGAGATCTAAAGTACCCAAAAGTATCTGCCAGGCGAACCTTTGTCATGCTTACCATATTCATCTTGTCATGAGGAGGTATTTTCATAACTATTCAGCTTATGTTGGCTGCGTATCATCCCTGTGATCTCAAGGTAGGTAGATACCTACCTTTAAGTGATCTGGGTCTGAACACTCATTCTTATTCACATTTTTTAAAAGCATCAGATAAACTAACGTACGTATTCATGTTGAATTTCAGTCCCCCAGTTGGGGTTGGGCTGTAAAAGTACCTTCAAGCTCTGAATACTCAAGTAATGATCGTAAAATTTATATTTGCTTTTTCAAGATATATAGTACAGGGTAATTAAATATACAGGGGTAAGTGTTTTTTTAAGGCATAATTGGAGATTATATATATATATATATATATATATATATATATGTAGAGAGTGTTTAAGGTGCTCTGCTGTTTCTTTCCCCCTCGTGTGATTTTTACTGTCATATATATATATATATATATATATATATATATATATATATATATATATATATATACCGGTACTGTAGTTTACTTTCTTCTCCTCCCTAGCAGCTTCTTTGTTCTGGCTTTTGCTCCATTTCACTTAGTTTTCTTTTCTCCCATTTTATTGTCACATTTTTACTCTATTCCCACATTCACCCTCCCCTCCTCTTCCCTTTCCTCAGTTTCTCCTCACCGAACTGTTGTGAAGTCCCAGCGGCACAGAGCACTCAACACTGACGTCTGTGAGGAGACCAAAATGGAGGTTCAGAAGTGCCAACTCACACATTTCTCCCTTGAATGGCAGCTGAGCCTCCAAATCTTGACACAAAAAAGGACGTAAGAGTGAAGTCTGTAGACTATTGCACTTACAAATATTAAAATTTAATGTTTCAAAATGTTTAGTCACTTTGCTCTAAGTGGACTGTCGCTGTGGTCCTTTCTGGCTACTTGTCCTTACACAGTGTAACAGTGTATATTGGACCATATATATATATATATATATATATATATATATATATATATATATATATATATATATATTTATGTAGATTCAATGAAAACGTGGATAAGATGAGACTTTGATAAATCACACGGGAAAGGGAAACAACGAGCACCTTAGCTTTCGTCTTTATTCAAGACATCTTCAGAGGCAACTCAGTTTTCTTCCTTGTACATCAGCATATATATATATATATATATATATATATATTTATTTATTTATATATATATTTATTTTATATATATATTTATTTATATATATATTTATTTATATATATATTATTTATATATATTTATTTATATATATATTTATTATATATATATATATATATATATATTTATATATATATATATATTTATATATATATATATATATATATATATATATATATATATATATATATATATATATATATATATATATATATATATATATATATATATATTTTTTTTTTTTTTTTTTTTTTTTTTTTTTTTTATATATATATTTATATATATATATATATATATATATATATATATATATATATATATATATATATATATATATATATATATATATATATATATATATATATATATATATGCGCGTAAATCACTGTAGGTGCGCCCAGGTATATGTTGATAACCACAAGGAAAAAGAAGACACGAAGTTCCCAAGCACTTTCATGTAATTACCCTGTACTATAACTCAATGGAAATTCATTTTTTTAAGACTACATTTCTGTTACAGTTGTCTAAGCTAGGGTAATAATACAAGATTTTTATGCTTTGACATGTAATATGTGGGGATTATTTTAATGCATGACTTCTCTGTGGAACTTGAATCTTGGAAGCTATGGGCAAGTTCGTAAGATGTCGAAACCAAAACCAAAATAAACATTTTTAAGAAAAATTAAGTTTTGGGTTTCCTGAGGCTTGGAAAACTAAATTATCACACTACAGTACATGAGTTTTATGTGCATAGGGTGCATGATTGCCTACAATTAAGATACCATCAGTGCATATCTAGATTGTATATTAATCTCAATGTAAAATTTATCAAATAGTGCTGTAATGTGTACTGTAATATCACGAGTTGCATACATGACGATACACATGAGTATGTTCATGTCAGCTGTGTAAACCTACAGTGACAGCCAAGCATTTCTAGTTCCCAAAGGTCTCCCCGAGCTAACTAAATAGGTTTTGCATATACAGTACTGTACTGTACTGTACAGTGATGCGTGAAGAGAATTTATAAAATAGGTCTTTGGTTACTTCACAATTAACCACTTGTGTGTGGTCCCTCTGCTGAAGAATATCATCATAAGTCGGGCAGTTAAAATATTAATACAGCAGTAGCGTCCCCTTACTGAAGGGATAAATTTTAATCATTAAATTATGCGTTTTATTTTTAGCTCCACTTTGTCTTAGTTTTACATTCTATATCATTGTGTGTATTTCCTCATCATTCTTTTTCCTATAATACGACTTTAATAATAACTATGTTCACCATTACCCACAAAATGCTCACTGAACATTTCATAAGATTAACTAAATTACAGTATACTAAAACACTGTTGCTTGGTCAAACATCAAAAGACGGTTTTATTACTATACTTTGTATATGATTGTTGTTTCAATCACATCATAAATATCTTCACAGAACACTAGTTTTTATCATGTATCATTCTACATAACAGACAACTTTAAATATTCAGGTCATGTACAGTACTCCAGGGTGCTTATAAGAACCTTGTAGCTCAAAGGATTGGACCCGAAATTTTCTTGTTTGTATTACTGTGCACATATACTGAACAAAGAGATATAAATGCTCCCTCCCAAGGACAGATATGTTCATACACCTTTGACATACTGTACATTAATCATAAACTTCAAGTGTTCAGGTCTCACAGCTCATAGTGTCTGGTCCTGAATATTCTTGATTGAACAATTTAATTTGTATTGATAATTCAATTGAGTAGTAAAAGATGGTTATTTAAATTTTACAATCTGTGTATAATGAATGTTTAAAATATCATTCACAAAAAAACAGCCCGTTACTATTTCTATACACACTGTACAGTATTGCTCAAAGGAATGCAGACACCCTTCCTGCAACTGTTGTGGTACTCAATACCAAGGTAAATACTGTAGTAAAATGTTGCCTTACAAACCACAAACAAATTTCATGCGAGTAATTTTTTTTATTATTTTTATTAGTACTTTTTTCATTAAAACTATCTTATACTGTAATTATTTTAAGGATAAATGAACAAGCAACAACAATATCTTAATTATTGTTTTAAAAATCATATGTAAATACACAGATATTCCAAAATAAGATATCAAAAACATGTATGTAAATAATCTTAAAATACACAATTTACAACAACTGTATATCTTAGCAGATAATATATCACCCTACTCATTCACATTACAAACCATAACATGATGCTTTATATGAAACACTGATAAAGTCGACTTTCCATCGTGTTTTGGAAAATGTTCACTAATACAGTATAATTAAATTGTACAATGTTCGGCAGTCGATATATTTATTACATTGACTTGTGTATATCCTAAAATATCATGTCATAATTATATACAGTAATATGCTCTTTTAGTTATGACAAACATTAAAAGTGTAGTGATATCTCCGTTAGTCGGAACAATTGGTGCAGAGCACTTCCTGGTAACGAGACGACTCTCTCAAAGCCGGAAAAATCAATCTTCCCCTGAATTTTCCAGGTAATGGAAAATGTACTCGGAAGTTCCAGAAATTGCCCATTAGATCATCTCTTGAACCCCCAAAAATATCCTCCATCCCCGGAATTTTCCAGGTACCGGAAAATTTTCCTTGGAACTTCCAGAAAATTTACCTAATTTTCATCTCTAAACCCAGAAAAAAACTCCCCCCATCCCCGGAATTTTCCGGGTATATGAAAAAGTTTCTAGGATTTTTCCGGAAAATGTGCCCCCTGGAAAATTTCAATTCCGGCTATCGGAGTTCCGGGTTTGAGGGATTCTGGCTAACGGAGATATTACTCTAATTACATTTGGTAAGGTACAGGTCATTGTGGTGGAATATTTACACTCAACAATGGCTCATACAGTACAGGATATATCGGTAAATTTCAGTCGGATTTTGAGGGAGTAATGATGGTAGCTGCTTTCTTATGAATTCAAATATTCTCACAATTTCTTTCCCTTTCCTTCATTTTGATTAGTATTTTATTACTAAGCAGTGCCCTGGTATATTCAGAGGTACAGTACCATTATTAGCTGGTGAGCTCCATTAGGAAACCTCATTACAGTATAAACTTTCAAAGCATACATGGTTGTTTGGGCTGCCATGTAGCTTGCCATGTTTTCAGCTTGATATAATTATCATTCATATTACTGATGCTATTGCTGTACATGTACATACGCTCCAAAAAAATATCTTTAAAGATTTTGTGCTTAACAATATGACAAAGACTGTAAGATTCTGACGACTCTACGAAGACAACAGGAGTCGGTGTTCATTTTGAAATTCATTTGACCCCGTCTGTAAAGATACATTTTTGAGTGTGTACATACAGTACCTCTTTAGTTTCTTTCTATTAATGAAGGGAATAATAATATTAATTTTGAGGGATCCTTATAATTTAACTTATGGTTTTCAGATAATATACTGGACTGCGATATTATAATGGGTTTAAGATTTACGATACTTGTTTTCTTTGTACGTACACCATGCTTAATAAAATTTATACCTTAAGAAGATTTGGCTACCTCAGTCCTTGCTTGTGGTACTATATTAATTTTTACAAGAGGAGAGATTATGAACCATTGTAGCAAATGACCTTTATATAACCCCCTAGATCCAGCCAGGTTACCTAGTTGGTACAAAATCTGAAAGACAAACTCAAATATGTTTCGTAATAATAACCTTTTAATATCTTTTAAAACCGCCGCCGCCACCACCTCTGCCAAAACCACCACCACCTCTGCCAAAACCACCGCCACCACCTCTGCCAAAACTACCACCACCTCCTCTGCCAAAACTACCACCACCACCACCTCTGCCAAATCCTCCTCGACTACCACCGCCTCCTCTTCCAAATCCTCTTCCTCCACGGCCACCTGGACAATGAAACATATTATTAGGAACTTGTTTCAGTATAATAAAGGAGATATCAAAGAAAACTGAATAAGAAAAAAATACATAGGATGTATACAAGTGTTCTGAAGGTGTATGCAAAACCTATGAATATTGTAAACCTGTTGCAGAAACTATATACAGTACAAATTGAAAACAAAATTATGTTATAACCTTTTCTCTTTTTATACATTATCATTTACTGCACATAACTTATGTCAGATTATTGTAATCAACCAAAACCACCGAGTGCAAAAAAAAGAAACTGATGTAAAGTAATACTTTTAGCATTATAAATTTCACATGAGTTACGAATAATCCTTCTGCTTACATATCAAACTGCTGTCATTTCCTATTTAACAAATATTCATGACGAGATTCTTACTGTGTTAGATTTCATAATAAGGCTTATCACTAGATTTTCTTACAAATACAAAAAAAGGATCAGTGAAGACTAGGCAGCCCAACTCATTTTACCTGAAGATGATATATAATATCTGGTTAGGTTAGGTTAGGTAAGGTTTAGGTTGATTAATCGTGAAGATGAAATAAGCTGGGCTTTCTTAACAAAAAAAAAGGTCCCTTCCACTTGTGTACATACCACCTCCTCTGCCACCACGTCCTCTCCCTCCTCCCCTACCACCTCTTCCTCCTCTAGATGATTGATTGCCAGGAAGGAATATATGTAAAGGAAGCAATTTGGCTGGATCGATATATATCTGTCGAGAAAAAGAAAGATGAACTTGTAGTACATGGGGCCTTGGTACAGAGAGAGAATACAATACTACTGTACTTTATCAGAGAAGATATCTCACAAAGGTAAGAATAAATGGTTAAAGTTCTCCCCTTCCACAATATGACCAACACAGACCCAGCAAAACATCCCATGCCTTTTTTTCACTCATTCTCTGATCCTATACAGTACTCTCCCTTTTTTATAATTTTTCACTTCCTCTTCTTTCAGTATTTTCATACCACTTCAGGAGACCTTGATCTGCTTTCTTTCCATTTCCTTCACTTCTACACCTCCATATTTCCTTATTTATTATTCTCTGCATACAATTTACCAACACTGCTTTCAACCGACCTCCGAAAAAGCAACCAAATCACTGCTTAGTTATTCAAAGCATTACCAGGTATGCAACTGTTTATGAAAGTGCTCTATCCTCAAAAAAATTCTTCATTTAACATCATTGGATTATCCTGGGAACTTTATAACCTGCAAGCAACATACTTTACCTTTGATTCATTCTTAAATGATTTAGCTTTGATGTTCTCACCAAGCTTGATGGACACATATTTTTCCATCGGTGTTCCAAATATTTCATCTACCTTCCCCACCTGAAAAACATAAAAGTGTTAAGTGTCACCACCTTTCACAAGATTTATGAGACAACACGTTTGCAATATTTATTACATGAGAATATTGTACAATATATAGAGGTGCAATGAACTTAACACACTAAAAATATCGCCTTAATTATACTGTACTATATAACTTAAATATCAAACAATACTAAATGAGAGAATATACTAAAATATGCAATGCAGAAAACTGTTCAATCATAATTATATACAGTACATCTATTTTAAAAACTAGTCAATGAGTTGTAATAAATCATTTCATCCCAATTAACATTTCCATCTTATTTACCAGTAGAGATAGTCCTCATTTAACAGAAGAGTTCCATTCCGTGTTAGAGCATCGTCTACATAAACAGCTCCCACCACTTAAGGGTTATGGTGGGAAACATTCTTGACCAGGGAATTTGGGGTTATTTAATTGAAGTGATTTGTATTTTTCATACAAAAACAGGAAATACATACAAATATACAAAAAACATAACATAAAATACAATTGAGAGGCATGTGCATGCTGCATCTCTACACTACTAACAGCTTCTTGATTGCTGCTCAGCTTGGAGTAACTAGCATGAACCTACACTGTACTTCAAAAAATTTATGAGTGTTTCCAAACTAAGACAACTACAGATAACTTAAATCAATCTTCACCTGCTCTTTATTTTCAAGATATATTGGTGCATTGAAGTAAGGAACATCTCTATGTGTCACTTTACACACGAGGTCTGCTTGAGCTGTGTGCATAAAGTACCCAAATTCCATTACCTGAAATATAAATGTTTTTTGTTGTTTTTCATGAAAACTCATTGTACTGTACAACAAAACCAATGAGAAGGAACTCATTAATATGTATACTGTATATATCAAGTATTTCAGGGTTTACCCAATACACAGACAGCGCCATAGCAAATTTAAAATAGATTAAGAATTATACACAAACTTACTTCATCTGGAGGTCCTTGATCATAGCCACGCCCTCCTCCACCACCACGTCCACCACGAAAACCTAAGGAAATTAAAAGTATAATTTGGGGAAAACAAAAAGTCAAGCTAAAAGGTTTGTACTTGGTTCTTCTCATGAAACATCACATCTGGAAATTGTGTCTTGTAATGCCATTTTCTCCCACTGAACATTAAAGTACTCTGCTTCATTCCAATCCCATGTCTCACTGCCTTAACTCTAATCATCCACCATCTTTCCATGTTCAGTTCTCTCATTACTTTAATTTTTTCAACCTACTAATTTAGCATGCATCACTTCCAAAGACTCCTCCAGTACTGTACATCATTCTTCATCATAATGTTACATTCTTGTTCACTCATTTTTTGTTCTATTCAACAAGATTTACAAAAACTCATGGTCAAACTCCATCCCATTTATTCTTCCTAGAATTTACTTTCAATTTCCTTCTATCAAACAAGTTGGTTAAAATCATTCATGATTTTTTGGGAGTTCCTGTTAACTGTCTGCTACAAGTACTGCAATTTAAAATGACACAAATGAAATTAGTGATTTATGAAATACTGTACCTGTATATTAAGATTTTTTTTTAATAAAATGTACTTAAGAGGAATTAATTTCTATATACAGTATCTAGAAGTCCTCTACAATATTCATTACCATACAAGATGTGTATATAAAATGGACAGGGTTTGTATAAATTAGTCTGGTAGATATTGGGAGGGTTTGCTGTATGGGTAAACTTACCACCACCACCTCGTCCTCTGCCAAATCCACCACCACCTCCTCTCCCACCACCTCCTCTCCCACCACCTCCTCTTCCAAAACCACCTCCTCCACGCCCATACATTTTCACCTGTAAAGAAACAAGAATTCAAAATCTCTTGACATCAAGGTTCTAGTATCAATATCAGCTAGATAGAAATAGTACAAACATTATCTCCAACATTAACCAATACATATTTGAAGAGTTACAGTACAGTACTCTTTATTATTGTATGTGTGTACAGTATTAGTTATCTGTTATTTTATTATAAAGTATAATGTACCCGGTATTGTATTTGTTACCGCAAGCGGTACATAATTATGATGACATATAAACAAATGTTATGTTAGGCTGTAACTCACAATGTAGTGTTGAGATGGTTGAAGATGAGAGGCCCAGAAGGAGGTTGGAGGGTGTGAAGGGAGTTTGTTTATGTATAATTATAATCACCTGACTCAGCCATAGCTGACCAGCCAAGGGGCCAGGCTATAGGGTGGGCATTTCAGTATAGCTACCCATATCTTAGAGTCAACACCTACCCTGGCTTCTCTCTAGACTTTCAACACGTAAGTTTAACTAGTACTTATTGTGTACACAGGTAGACTGTGTCATTGTTTTTGTGTTAAGATTAGACTAATTACATAGCCATGATTGTTATGTAAATATATATTGGATTAAACATTTATGTAAGAGTGCCTATGTATGACTTATTTGAAATACTAAATGAATTGTATTCAACAGGTTTGACTGAATTATAATGTTCGTGTACGACGTTAGAAGTATTATTCACCGTCTGATTGGCGGTTACAGTATTTCTAAACCTGTGAAAATTACAATACTGTACCAATATTTCTCTTAAGTTCAGCCCTGGGATTAAGTGAAGTAGCTAACAAAATTCTCAACATCTGCCAAATGATAAAACTTTCAATAGCATTGTTCATATTTTGAGACCTCTATATAATTCCAAAACCAGTTAGCACTTTTTGGGAATTCTGGACTGCGGTACATATGTTAATGTGTTACTTCAAGAATCTGAACTACTGTGAGCATGTACAGTACGTAACAGATACTGTAGCTATCATTCACTGTAAATGACCCACGAAAATACATTAAATTTCCATAGAGGATACAGGTACGGCAGTCATATTGATGGACTGTAATGTTAATGGTTAGGTTAGGTTAGGTTATAGGGTAGATTAGATTAGGTTAGCCAGAAAGAAGGCCTACATTACATAGTCTGCCCACCCACCTCACATGAGCATTAGGCTGCTGTACTAATAGACACCTACCTTTCGAATACAGTTGCCGTACCTGTATTCTGTACCTTAATTTTAACCTCTCAAAAATATTATACATATGTAGTCTAAGCCCCCTACCTTTTGCATACAAATTTTATCATATAAACTTGAACTATACTCAAATATATACGGTAACTGTATTTGTACCTACTTTGATTATGGTTCTGTTTTCAAGCGGTCATAGAGTACAGTACTGTATTTTTTCTAAGTTTTATCTAATCATTATACTATAATCAATCAATTATGCACACAGTGATGTATGGCCATAATTTAAATCACCACGAATGGCTCTACAAGACACGCCGGTGAGCTACAGCAGCATCATGTGAACCTGGCGGGCCCCCAAGCATATAACTAGGAAAAGCCCCAGTATTGTATTAATATAAAGCATATGAACAAGGCTTAACCCCTCTGTGATGCGGTAACTCCTTTGAATTTATACCATATCAACTTACCTAATAATTATTCAGAATTCTAACTACACTCCTAACACCTCCCGTCACAACAACAACCACCACCACCACCACCAGTCGACCACGTGCAGACTTAACGCATTTAATAACAAATGTCTTTTTAGAAGTTATTAATTATATTATTTTAAATACTTTATAATTCTTTTAAAACATATATATATTTTGGTAAATTATTATATTGTTAATTTATTTGATAACTACAACAGAATTTGTCTCCATATTAGCAGATGCCTTATAGTAATAGTCACTCCAAAGAAAGTTAATTTACTCTGACAATATTATGTACTTGTGGGTTATTTAATTAACCTATGGCTGTTTCCGATTAATTTCAACTGAGGTGCTTATTAACGTCTATTAAATCATCCATTACTGACCTATAATATAAGACTAAACCTACCCTGGCATGAGAGGGCCTTAGGTACATGCTCTAGTTTGGAAGCCCTTCATTGGACGTTTCTAATCCACTGGCAGTCTTTTATAGGTAATTATTGTCGTCTGACCCGCTGCATTATTCGATAGTCATCCTTAATAGATGATAACAAAATTGTGTTGATATATTGGAGGTGGGTGAAGGAAAATGTACTACTGTCACTTGAGAGAATTGTCTATTAGTCGCCACATTATTTTTTTTCAGAAATATTGTTCCATTACTGTTAATTATTAAATTCCATAACTTAATAAACATTCCTAGAATTATGGAGGAAGGAGGGACTCATCATAAGCTACGTTTACCCTCCAAAAGTTACCATTTTCTCTTCCTCATTAATGAAGAGAATCATCAGAGTTCTCTCAGTTAACCGCCGTAAATATTGAGACAGTGAGTGGTTTAAACTTTTCTCTTCCAAGTTTTATTAAATGTATAGTTATATGATAATTTTTAGCTTATGTTTGGGTTGTTACGATAAGAACCAAAGACGTTGAAACTATAAAAGTAGAAGTAGTTTAGGGATGTAACTTGTTAAGGGAAGTTGTGTGGGCTGATTCAGGTGGTGGGTCGTGATAGGTATAGTAATCCATTGTCTCTTTCCCTGTACATTGATAACAGAATATGCTATTAAAGCTTTTCTCAGCAGATGGAACTAAAATGGTGATAAAATACCATAGATGGAATCCCACCTAAGTTACTGGGGGAACTTACACAACCTATAAATACAAATCAATTATTTACTCATCTTCTCTCTCTACAGCCGAGCTAGACACTAGAGGGAGAAATATAGTAATTGCTTATGTAAGTCGTAAATTTAATGGTGCAGAAACACGCTATTCAGTAACTCATCTAGAGGCGTTACCTGTTGTCTGGTCATTAAAGAAATTCAGAGATGTGATATTTGGTTTTCAAGTAACGACTATACGTATCATGCAGCAATAACGGAGTTATTCCATGGAAAGAACCTCTCTGGCAGACTTGCACGTTGGTGCCAGATGCCTGAAGCTGGCTTAAGTCTCTCTAACTACACAAAAAGACTCAGAAAACATTCAGGGGATTTTAGGCCTCTTGTTCTAACCAGCATTGCAGGAAGAGAGTTGGAGACCTTGGTGAGGGAGAAGATTGTGGACTTCCTATAAGTACAGTAATCAACATTCTCAGTAAGGTAATCGCGGAGGAGACGGTTAGCAGTAGAAACAATTTATGGAATTGCACATTGTCTCTGTCCCTGTCACAGAGTGCACAAGGCAGGCCCTGTTAGATGGTGTTGTGGTTGGGTAATCTCACTGCTTACTAATTAATTTGCCATAACCATGAAATGAGGTATTATATTTTTGCCCATTTTTTTTTATTTCCACTGTATTATGTGGTGTAAGATATGTTTTAATCATATGAATCTGTTTTGAATATGTACAGAGTAACATATGTGTCCAGTCATAACTGTGGTATTTTTCCTTACAGAATTATGATTAACTTAGAGCACCTTCATCCACCACCGGGATGTGGGCATGTGACAGCTTATGAAAATGATGGTCGCCTTCGTGCTTTACATGTTACTGAAGCTCTTGAAACTACTAAGAAGTGGGTTAGTAATTGTGTATTGTACATCTTCATATGCTGTATATTTTGTACATCCTCCCCAATAATACAGTACTGTAATTTAATACAGGGCTGTACCTGTAGTTATGAGAAACCAGACGAAATTTGAATCGTGTACCCTTTGAGGTCCATTTTGATTAGTCATAAATTTACAAAAGTAATGTCAGTAATATATTGTACAGTACATATAAAGATTGGGTTCAATAGAGCTAAATTTATTAAGATATATTTATTGAAACATTTACTATACAGGCTGAGATTATGTATAAAATTTTTTAGGAAAATTGTGCCACACATTGATATTGCACATTGAAAGTATGATAGAACAAATCTTTCCTGGAGTTGATGGGGTGTACATATACGTAAACTAATTAATATTAGGTGTGTGCAAGGTGATGACCAAAATTATGCGATACTGTATCTCAAGTATTGCTGAGTGTGGGAAACATTCAGCCCGTGCCTAACCAAGACGAGAGGAGTAGAGGATAATGTTATTTTATACAGCAAGAATGTCTAGTTTTATATAAAATTACCTTTTAAATTATTATGTGTTGCATAAGTTTTTTTTTTTTTAACTTTCAAATCTTTTAAGAAGTAAGTTAGTCAATTAAGTAAGCATATTGGTGGATTAAAAAAAAAATATTTAATGTGCAGTGTTTTCATTATTTCTTCAGAAGAAAATTATGAAAATGACAAAACATATACTGTACTGTATGTAGCTTTGTATTTTCTGTTTATAAATGGAACCATGGGACAAAATTTATATTTTCTTAACTTTGAATTTTCATAAACCAAATTTTTGTAAACCAGAGACTGCCTGTATGTGGTGTATGATACAGGCATCTCATAATATCCTTAAATATATCATTTTACTTGGTAATTTTGAAGCTAAAAAAATCTAAATAATGTTTTTATTTTCTTAATGATTCTTCTTTTCAACAGTTAGGTGGGCAGTTCATTGAAGTAACTGTTGGACAGGAACCAGTCAGGACAGCACACAGCAAGCAAGAGGCACGGGAAGCATTCTCTGCCCACACGGAGACGCCATGGCAAAGAGTTATGTTTGCATAGTAAGTTCTGCCAACAAGCTACTGTGAAGCATATTGAGAAGGTTGAGTGGAAGTCCTGTTCTTTGATGACTTATTTATCCTCTTCGTATATAATTATTACTTCGTGACTCTCTTCCTGACCTTGTGCAGAATAATTAAAATTGTGGATACAATTACCTGTACTGTACTTAAATCTTCAACAATGGCTGTTCTGACATAATAAAAAATTATATTTATTACTGTACTGAATGTAAAGTGTTTCATATGGTATTAGAATTACTACTTAGGCCTACTGAAAATATGGTAAGCATGTCTATACCCTCCCTTTGAATTCTAAACTTTTTGGCTTTTATTGGGCTGCAGGAGGCATTTTTATAGTCTAATCCGGGAGTTCCCAAACCTGGGGTCGGAAAGCTCATTAGGTAGGGTCACAAAGAGGTCATGGGGTCGGTGGGGTGCTTTGGGTCTGCCAGTGAAATGATTTGGGGTCGCACTGGATAATTGACAACACTGGATGGGGTCGTGCTAGAAAAAGCTTGGGAACCCCTGGTCTAATCTAAAGTCTGTATTTTTCATGTTGGGCTTTTTCATAACAGCAGTAGTGTAATAACAAAACTGTATTGCTTACCTTTAGCTCAAAATTATGTTGGCATTTTACAGTATCACCTTTCCTTGAGTATTCGCAGTGTATACGTTATCAATATGGTTGTGAATATTAAATTCCACGTATACCATTATCATAATTACCTGCACTGTTTGCAACAACCACGGCAGCCATGACATGCAGTCTATCTGCTCTTTTATAGCACTCAGTACATTTCCAAAACCAGGAACTGGACAGCGGGCCTGGATGGCACTGTTTTGATTATCATAAACTGATCTTTATAAATTGTGGTCTGCCTGTGTATGACAGTTCACACCTCTACTAAAGTTGATGATTTAGCACCTTTTTTTTTTTTACTAGATTCCATTAAGGATATTTTCTGAAAACTTACAGTTATGAGGAGGGATGGGAGGCTTCCCTACAGGAGATGATCAAAGGCAAGGATGAAGGTAGTCTGTATCAAGTTGCTTCCACTATGGCTTCTGTTATCCTGAAAGTGTGTGGCATCATTGCTAAAGCACAGGCACTCCTACCATCACCCAAGAGGAGTGGAAGTTCTGCAAATACTCCCCTTGGTAAGAATCCTCATCAGGTATTATATGATAGCACATGAATCTTGCCTGCTGTGAAACAAAATATCCATGAAAGCAAAAAATTTAATGTGCTCTTCGATTAATAAATAATTCATAACACCTCTAGAACTCATAACTCGCATTTTAACTAGTGCTTTTTTCTCAATCTAGTGCTGCGTGGATCAGGTGGTAGTATTGTGAGTGTGGCTTGGCATCCTCATACCAACACCTTGGCTGCAGTGTTTTGCGATGATACAGTGAGAGTTTTTGCTGCTGGTCGCAGTATTACACCTCTTCTGAAACATCGCCTCCAGAAATCCATCACACACATTGCATGGATGTATGTATAAGTCTAAAAAAAGGTTCTTCTTCTTTTAATGTAACTTACTATACTGTAGCATATGTACAGTAGTACATGTCAACATGTGGATTACAAATTAATTTTTCAATATCTTGTGGGTTTCTCAAAATGAACTACCGGTAATATCCAGCAATACTACTTTTCTTCCATGACAGTTTAAACTTGGTGCCTCACTACTTTTATAGGGGACAACAACTTCAAATTACCTTAGAACTTTGCCCTCTTAGCTAGATTTATTATGTTATTTCAGACTGGAACATTATAAATTCCTGTAATGTATATAAGGCTTAAGAGATATTTTACCCACATTATCTCTGAGGCATCATTGACAAGTGAGGAGGATGTCAGTGAACAGGATAATGGTAATGAAGAAGTTGCACAGAGAGAGTACAGGTGGAGGGAGACATGGGATGGAAGGCTGGGGCCACTAACAAGAAAATGAGGGAGGGAATAAAAGGAAGAGAAAGGGCAAAGGAGATACTGTCTGTCATAGCCACCACATCAGAGAGGAGTGAGTTAGTGTTATAAGAGGTCTTTAATTTGCTGTGTGATGGATCAGTAAAACACTTGTACTATACTAATAAAGTATCACCTGCCAAGTAATTTTAATTAAGGTGGTGTCATTGTATGTCAGATTTTTTTTAACAGAAATTCACAAGTATATATTTTTTTTTTTACTGTATTATTATTTATTTATATTATTTTTATTTTATTTTTATTTTTTCCAGGCCCTATTCAGCCTCACTTATGGCAGTAGGTTGTGAGTGTGGTGTGTTATTGTGGACACTAGACCCAGTCAATGTTGTGACCCGCCCATCTGGCTCCTGTGTCTCACTCCTGGCCCACCCTAGTGCAACACCCATCAACTCCTTGACATGGCATCCCAAGGTTAGTACAAAAGCCTGGAGGTTTTGAATGTATATCCCACCTGTCATACAAGATTAATTGGACTTAGTTGCCACTGAAAGCATTACTGTTAGAGGAGTTCCTTCTCCTTTTCTGAAACAAGAACAACATTCACTCTGTAACCCATGTCATGGTTCCCAAATAAACTTGGGTCTAAACTGTCCCTACTTTTGTTTTCATTTACTGGCTTTTTATTGCTTACTCTTCTGCTCTTTTTCTTTTACATTTTCTTCATTGGTAACTTTCCCTTATTTATACATGCTGAAGCAACTGTGATTTATTCTTTGATTTATTATACTTGCTTTGAATTGTCAGTAAGTGCTAACTGCTTCTCAGAGTGATAATTAAACTTACCCAAAGAGTTGTTGATCAAGTAGTTGTAGTACAATACTGTTTTGTTCTTACATCTTGAAAGTGAGCAAACAGTAAGTAACTTAAAAGTTTCAAGATGTAACAGGTTCCTTTAAGTTTGAAAAGACATACGTTAGCAAGGGCATCCAGCCGTAAAACTTAGCTTCAACATGCCTGATGACATCTGGGTTGGGTCACCAGAGCTGTAATTGATTGTAATAATAATAATGATGAAGATGATAAACCACCATAGGATGTGTTGAACCAATGACTTAATTTTGACAACATTGTCTTTCTTTTCTTTTCATTGTACAGGTATTTTTCACAAATGTGTGTTTGCATAGTATTACATTTGTATGAAGAACTGTGTGAATTAACCCAATATTTTATTATTTCCTACCCACGATGCCTCAATAAACTGTACCAGATATTATTCCCAGTTTTCCATGTTTACAGTTATAGTGCGTTTTTTCTCAGCTGAAAAAAAATGCCCCGCCCCCTCCTCAAGAGTTACAGCTGATTGGCTGTTGCAAACCTGTCCAATATTGTCCTAAACTAATGATGTATTTCTAAATGAGTTTATTCATTATCGTTGGAATGACCGTTCCTGACGAGAAAGATATTTAGCTAAATTACATAAAGATACATACATTCATTATTTCAAACCTAAGCACGTAGGAAGTTTATCAGAAGTATTATACATGAATTAACTGTTAAACTCTGGGAGCAAATTCATGCTTTTGTCAGTACACAGTGCGATCACTAACGTCGGGACTCGAAAATACATAATTTGAAAAATATTTTATACGACTGCGGCGGTCGTATGTCCGAGTGGTTGTAAGTCGAGTAGGTTGTAAGTCGAGGAGTACCAAATGCATCCTCCGAAAGCTTGAATTTTCTAAGAGAGTTTAACAGTTAACTCATGTATAATACTTCTGATAAACTTCCTACGTGCTTATGTTTGAAATAATGAATGTATGTATCTTTATGTAATTTAGCTAAATATCTTTCTCGTCAGAAACGGTCATCCCAACTATTATGAATAAGCTCATTTAGAAACACATCATTACTTCAAGACAAAATCGGACAGGTTTGCAACAGCCAATCATCAGCTGTAACTTTTGAGGAGGGGGCGGGGCATCTTTTCTCAGCTGGGAAAAAACGCGCTGTAGTTAAAATGCAGTACAGGATATATTCTCTGATGCTAAATTCAGTTACATTGTGTTTTTTAACATATTGTATAATATTTATCTCTGAAAATTTTGCTAAGATGCAATAACTTTATCCTTATGTTTTCTATGCATTGTTTTTAAATCTATTATTGCTTTAGGGCAATTTATTTGCATGCGTTGGAGGCAGCAACAGTCAATTGGTGGTATGGGACGTGGGACGTGAGGCTTCAGTAGTGGTTCACAGTGGGACGGGTGGCAACATCTCCCTGGTTCTGTGGTCTCCCGACAGTTCAAGACTTTTTGTTGCCTACTCTTCAAAAATCATGAGGTAAGGTGACATGTAACTTATTCCCTGTATTTGAAATGTATTTTCTGTCTGTTCACATTTGGCCTTGCACTGATCATAACATTAAATGTGTGTATAGTATCTCATAGAAACTGATACAAAGGCTTGAGGAAGCAAACCGAGTTTTCAACGGTTCAATGCCTACACAATTTCACCTCTTCCATGCATTGTACTATTAATGTGCTTTATATTAAACTAGCAGAAACGCCGCTCTTTCGCTAGGCCACGGTAGAATGGACAGCCTAGAAAAGTTAGAGATAAAAGAAAAGTAAGCTGTAATGAGAGAGAGCATAAGGATAAAATTAGCTATAATACGTAGGATTTGATACGACTTTTCAACCTCTGTGTGGTGTAACGGATGGAGGTTAGATGCAGAGAAAAGTAAGCCATAATGAAACAGAACCTAAGGATCAAAATAGCTGTAAATCATAGGAAGGAATACGACTTTTCTATGTGTGTGCGTCCGGGCTGACCATTAGTCTCTCTCTTTCTCTCATTCTCTCAGGCGTGTCGGGTGGGGTCGGGTTGATTGGAGTTTTTTTAGATCCCCACATGACACTTGCTATCCATGCCAAATTTGGTCCAGATCGGTAAAGTAGTTTCCGAGATTTTCGTGCGGACACACAGACAAACAGACAGACTTCTTTGTTTTATATATATAGATACCTCTCTTAAACACATGTTCCTGGCCTCTCCCTACTAGCCTTATTGTAACCTCCCTCAGCACAAACATCTTGTTTTGTTGCTTCTTTGTAGTTCACTGTGTTGATCTCTTGATGTACATTCTCTCTGTGTTCCTATACCACCGCAGCAGTTGTTTACCATTATTACCTTGTCCATATCTCTATAATCCATTGTTCTTTTCATTATTCCATATCATAATGTAATTTGTAAGTGGCTAAACTTTACTCTGGTATGCTATTCGCTTGCAGGGTGTTTGAAACTCGAAGTTGGACTTACGAACAGTGGAGTCTTGAATCACCCATCCAGTCTGCAGTTTGGTCAAGTTTGGGTCATTTGTTGTTATTTGTGACTCAAGATGACCCAGTGCTCTACTACCTAGGTTTCATCCCTGGTGAAGGTGTTGGGGGAACTCAAGTAGCCGCTCAGGTTGCAGACCTCACTCAGACTCTAGTCTCTGATGAAGATGGTGAGGAAGTAAGGTAAGAGTTAACATATACAGTGCCATTAATACCACTTTTTGCTCAGAGTAGGTGGTGTACATAGGATCGTTCTTGAATACTTCCATCACACCACAACTTGTAATGATAAAACAAGTTTATGGTTGTAAAGAAGATGAAGAAGAAAATAGATGGAATACTTGTACCATACTTGTGTTTTAAAGAATTGATCTTGGTACTACAGGTTGACCCTCTCTTATCCGGTTTCTTGATCGTGATAGTGAGCTCTGATATAGCATTGTTATAGTGTACTGTATTTATATATTAATGTCTTCACTACCTCACACCTACTGGGAACTCCCCTTATGGAGATTCATGAAACCCCTTGTATGTCATATCATTTTTTTAAGACAGTTCCTTCATATTTTATTTTTTCTTGTTTTACAGTGTGGGGGGACCTGTGAAGCAGTTAGCTTGGGATATTCGTAGTGAACGCTTGGCTATTGTTTTCCGTGATACAGAATTTGTGGTGCTTTTCCACACGCACACTCATCCCACGTTACATCTCGCTCCAGGGTAAGTACAGTATTATTACTTTTTAGAGTTTTGAACTGTGTTGTACGTTGTATTGCTAATATTAATGTCGATTCATATTCTATCCCTTATCCTTCGGAGTATCCACGATGTGCATGTGTATATAGGCAGTCCTTATTATTCATCGGGGTTTCGTTACTGAAAACCACGACCACCTGTACGGTATTAACAAGATGACCACCGGTAACAGCTTTTAGTTGGGGTTTGGGTTACATTCCCAGGGGTTATCTTTTATGGAAGTTTTCTCACTTAAATGGTACTGATGTTTATATTCAAAATGATCACCAAATTATAAGAATTCCAGCAATGTAAATTATATTCTGGCCGGGTAATTTGTATGAATTTTATGAGCTAAAACAGGCAGTCAGGCAGGGTAATGGCGGTGGGGCAAATCTAAAAATAGCGCTCGAAATGACACTCACCGCGTATATGTGGAAAAAAATCCGTGTTAAGAAAGTTCAGCTCTGGCGAGGCACCGCTTATGAAAAAACGCGTAAGTGAAACCGCTATATATATATATATATATATATATATATATATATATATATATATATATATATATATATATATATATATATATATATATATATATATATATATATACTGTATATATATATATATATATATATATATATATATATATATATATATATATATATATATATATATATATATATATATATATGAAATAATTGAGACACTACAATTACTGTATGTGTAAATGAGGCAGAAAGTCAATCAGATCAGCAACTTGGGACTTGGTCACAATTTTCGTGATGCCATATGGCAGCAGGGTCTATCATTAGATAACAAATTATGCCTCCAATATCTTCTCAGATTGTAGTATTAAGATTCAAAGGCTGATAACACTTACCAATAAACATGTTTATTACAGAGGGCTCATTAGAGGTGAGCCTTGCCAAGTCCCCGTCAGTGTCAGCTTTCAGAAGAACTTACCCAATGGTGCTGTGTTATCAGTGGTAGGTTCCATTTTATATGACCCTTAAAACAAGCAAGTTTATTCCTCTAGAGATATTGAACAAGAATGATAATATAATGTGTCTATAGTATGTTTTATATCAAGATCATAATTGTGGCATTAGTAACAATTGTGAAACACTACAGGTATGGAGCAGCGGACAAGTGCAACATATTCCCATGCGTTACTCTTCGCGGGAACCTCTCCCTTCCACCCTCAACACCAGCACATTCAACACCTCTATCCGGACGACACACAACTCCATTCTCAACTGCAGTGTTCCTCTCAACACCTCCATGGGATATGCTGGGTCACCAGTTACATCACCCCTCATTGGTGGCATCTTCACATCTCCCTAAGTTAAAATTAAATTCTTAACTCACTTTTCCATGAATATCTCTTGAGGTGTAATTTTGTACATAACTTGGAGGCTTTTTACTGAATAAATAAAAAGTACCAAAGTAAGTTTGCAGATCCACTATGTGAAAAATTACCTGTATTAGTGACTAAATTCCTTCTTTACCCTGTCTTTCCATGTACCAGTTGTATTTAACCTGTCTGTCATTGTAGTTTACATTTATATTTTGTTCACTTCTCTATCCATCCTCGTAAAGGGTCAAAGTATCTTAACAAAATATTTGGGCATTTATTATCCTTTTAATTTTCAAGTTTTTTATCTCTTGTATCTTACATTTCAGACCTATTAGTGGAACTGATGTGATTATGACAATCCTTCCTCTTTTATAATATTTTTTAAGTGGTCCTTTTCTACCCATGTATATTGTAACAAGAAATAACCTGTAAAGGCCCTCCAGTTAGGTTCACACAACTTGTTTATAATAAAGTATTTTCTGTATGAGAGAGAAGTTGTTATCTAAATATTATAACCATGATTGTGTTACCCTTCAGAAAATATGGAAAGTTTTTACCTCAATTTGTGCAAGTAAAGAACAAAATTAGAATAAAAACTGTTTTATGTTACACACCAAGAAGTAAGTATCCTTCAAACACACGAACCCATTAACTTGAACTTAACTTACGGGAGGAGATTACAGGAAAAATTTACTGGGTATTTACATTTATTTACTTTCGGCCATCTTCTTGAGGATAACAGAAGTGTCTGCAAACTACACAGTACTGTATAAATATAATGTTATAATGAAATGGTAAGGTAGCTTTGGGTTTGAATTTCCATTTTCTGTAAAAAATATAAGGTCGTCATAATGTACAGTATGTCTATTTCTATCCCTAGTAGTTTATGGTTCAGTAGAGTGCCAGCTTCTAAGTTAAAACAAATTAAAAAAAAAATAACCAGGGTGTAAGCAGAAAAACATAAAATGTAGGACATAGTAAAATATTTTTTTTACTTTTAAACAAAAGGTTGAGATTATCAAGTGCATGACTGTGGTAAAAACATTGTGAAGATTGATGCTGGGGGTTTAAAGGCATATAGACTTCTTGTATAGATTGAAGAAATCTAAGATAATCATTAATGAGGTTTATAAGCCTTTATTTACTTTGTGGGGTTTTTGGTATGTTTGGTTCACACTCAGGATGGGATGGAGAAAGGAAACTCACAATGTGCTCTCATGTATACATGTTGTATTGGATGTACAATGCAGCTTGGTGCTGGGAAGGCAGCATGGTTACAAGCGTGATGTAGAGAGAGCTGGTTGGTGAGGGTGTTCAGAGGAGGACAGCTTGTGGGTCGCCATGCTCGCTGGCGGGAGCGAGGACCACCAGGCAGGCGGAGAAGGAGGAGGTGTTGCTTGCTGGTTGGTGTAGGTAGAAAAGAGAGTGGTCACCACGAGGTCAGGTCTTAAATAGCGGAGGTAGGCGTGGCTTAGTAGTTGACCTCCGCTATGTAAGGCGGCGCTGGTTGACCTAGACCACGAGGCATACACTGGGGAATTCGCGGGGTCGGCTACTCAGCGACAAACAGCGTTTGTAGGGGAGAAATCCACTACAGTATCACATGGGACATAAAAATCAACTTAGTTGTCTGTATTTATTAATATATAAATGAGCTATTACGAACGTTATTGACGGGAAATGGCTAGCTGTGAAAATACCTGAACATTACTTGTACACTGGCTTACCTCTTGTATTAATTCCACTAAGGCTGCTATGATACTAATCAAGTTAAGTCATGATGTCTCGACATGACTCGCCATGCCATTGCACCTAAATTTGTATGTTATTTTGCAGAAGCTATTCACACCAGGGGAGTTGAGTCATGCCAAACCTTACACAAGAGGTTTCAGTTGTAGATATTTTTATTCAAAATTAGTATTAACAATAGAAGATGGAAGTGCTGGAAATGAAATGCTTGAGGACCTTGAGGTGGCTTGACGGGGTAAGAAATGACAGGATAAGAGAGGTAGAAGTGGGCATAGACTGATGGAAAAATAAAGACCAGAATGTGCTGAAAAAGTTTGGCTACGTGGAGAAAATGAGTCGTTCAGATATCTAGACGGTGAGCCATAGTATCCTGCTTTCACGACCCACTCCAATTTGACAAAAAACAGTGAGCATGTAAGAAGGGAATAAAAATATTCGATATTTAAACATATTTGTATACTGCAGTACAATGACTCTTTATTTGTAACATGAACTAAGGGAATCTGGGTCATTCAATGTTACTTTATGGTTAAGTCAATAGTAAAACATAAATTAACCTTTCCATGTTAGAAGTGCCGGCAATTCTTAGCAGAATATTTCACATTCTTTCACATAAGTATCTGCCTCTGTTGATGACTTCATTATGATTGATGGAGACGTCCTTCTCTGTCGCCAGAGGCATGAAGAAAGACAGCCTTTCCTTCCTGTAAAGACTGTGAAGCTTTGATTTTACCAGCTTCAATTTCTATAAGGAGTGTTTCACTGAGGCAGTACAGTAGTTACAAGCAAAGTGGCACAGATTTTGAGCAACTGAAATGCAATTGGAAATACAAAGATGAGATTATTATCCTCCATATACTTCATTGCTGTAGTGTATTGTCTTCACATTATTTTGGAGGCTTGGACCTGGATATGTTGAATGGAAGATCTTCAATTGAATAAAAAATCTTGTCTTGTTGTGATTCAAATATATCACAATATCATGTTTCAAATAAATTAAAATTCTTACCAAAAAATGTGGCAAATCTTTCTTCAACTCCAAATGAACGCCTGTAATTTGTGTTCATTTTCTTGACAGAAACTCCTGTCATATCTACCAATTTCTTGAAATTTTCTGTCATTCTAAAGTAAAAATATCTGGATGGTTCAGTAGGTCTGGTAATAAATGACTAAAAGAACAAAAATCTGACCTTTTGGTGACGACGTCATGTTCACAGATTCGGTTTTTCCTACATCGCCAAATCCACAACAAACTATGTAATTGCGGGAGAAAGTGTGTTCATATTGCTTGAAATTTGACGGGATATTGACAAACTTGAATCTTTCTGCATGAACGGGAATGATTCAATTTGACTCGAATCAAATGACTAATGACTCGACTCAAAGGAATGAGACTCGGGACTGACTGCCCCGAGTGTGAACCCTTTCAAGACTAGACTTGACCCACACTGGAGCAAGTTCAGATACATTCAGGAGCTGGTGCATGCCCAGTACTTGCCAACAGTGTGTAACAGAGACGTAACCGATCACCCAAGCGGCTAACGAGCCGATCAGTGGTGAAGAGGAAAAGAGTAAATATTAAAGTAAAGGTGTGACCCTCCCAGACCAGGCAGAAGTACTCCAGGTTGTTCCTGTCCTAACAAAATAACAAAAACCTCCCGAATGACTAGTAAACAGGATACGTGGTAAAACGATGAATTAAACAAATACACATATATAAAATGTACTAAAAAACATAATTGGCAACTCCATAATGGTGCAATACTCCATCAGGTCCAAGGACAACCGCTGCGTGCAGTGACGTGGAGATTTTAGTTGCCTGGCCGACGTACTCCAGTTGACAACCAACAAGCATCTACGCCCCTCTTGAAGGTTAAAAGCACAGTCAAGGTAGGCATTTCCTTTTCACATACATAAATTAAAGTTCACGTTATAGCTGGGTTATTGGGGATCAGTGTGAATTATTCTTAAGAATGATATTTCATTTATCATTTTCACTATTATCAGTTCATTAGCTATTCGGGAAGTTGGTCTGTTCTTTGTAATGATTTTACTGTCCAGTGATAATATAGGAGGAAACCTGTGGTGCTTGGAAGGGTCACATTGTATAGGTACTATGAAAATTGACACAAGGAAAACTTGGCACAGTTGTGAAATTAAGAGTAATATGTCTTAAAAAATGTCATTTGGTAATGGGGAGGGAGTTAGGTTCAGTGAAATTTTCTATTTATGTGACTGGTGGGCTATCAGAAAAGAAAAAGATTTATCTGTGGATTAGGTTAGGTGAGATTGGCTTAGGCTAGGCTGACCTGGAGTCTTCCCCCTTAATCGAGCGACATTTTCCCCCGAATTTACTCTTGATTTGACATTTGTGTCTTTTTTCCCTACATTTAACTAGATAATATCCATCTCACGTATGTCTCGGGTCAGGATTCGAACCCAGGACAAATTAAGAGAGGCGCATTACCAAACTTTTTTTTTTACTTTTATCCTCTTCACCACTGATCGGCTCGTTACCCGCTTGGGCGATCGGTTACGTCTCTGTTACGCACTGTTGGCAAGTACTGGGCATGCACTGGCTCCTGAATATATATGAACCTGCTCCAGTGCTTGTCAAGTCTGGTTTTGAAGGAGCTCACACTCGGTGCCGTCACTACACTGGCAGATTGTCCCAAGAGTTCACAACTCTCACTCAGAAACGGTTGTTTTTATTGTCGCGCTATAAAGAGTAATGCGGGAAGTGGAGGCTTTTGGCATTAATTAACCAACAACGAACAAGTTATGTACCCCAAGGCTCATTACTCGGACCGTTACTATTTATTGTGTACATTAATGACACCTGTAGACATAGGCGCTGACGGCAACTTATGTCAATTTGCTGATTACAAAGCAGGGCACATATTTAATCTGATGAAGACTCCGAAATATTTCACGAAGACCTAAGCAAACTTATAGGATGTATTGAAAAATGTCAGATACAATTCTATATGGAGACATTTAAGTCTGATACTTGAGAACGGTAACGGGAACAAACTATCAGGTGAACAACGTAGACTGAGAGGAATCAGATTGTGAGAAAGATGTAGGTGACGGCCACGTGAGGTCTTATATAGCGGGGGTAGGCGTGGCTTGATGGTTGACCTCCACTTTGTTCGGCGGCTCTGGTTACCGACCTTGACCACGAGGCGTACGCTGGGGAATTCGCGGAGGGTCGGCTCGGCTGGTCAGTGACACGGCGGTTGTAGGGGAGGAATCCACTACTGGCCGAGTGACCTGCCAGTGCTATTCTAAAATCCCAATGATTTTAAATTTTACCAAGTGTGAATCTTGTATCGTCAGGCAGCAAGATAAAAACCTTTGCAAGAGGAATATCATTAAACGGAAAAGGGTCACGTGAGCAAGATTGATGGTATCGTTTAACAAATATATTGACAAAGCTTGGAGTACAGTTTGCCTATTCTGAGTAATTCAGTCAGGTGTTGACACTGAGGGTGGTATCACTTCTCACTGCCACGCAGGACAGAGGTTCATAAGAACAAAGAATGGAGGAAACTGCAGCGGGCCTATTGACCCATACTGGGCAATCCCGTTTATACCCAGCCCCTATTGCTCATATAAGCATCCAACCTATGTTTGAAGCTATCCAGCGTATTCGAGTTCATGATGATATTTGGTAACTTCTTCCATTCATCCACTACTCTGTTTCCAAACCAGTGTTTACCTCTTTCACGCCGAAATCTAAATTTGTCTAATTTAAAACCATTGTTACGAGTTCGCTCCTGGTTGGATAGTTTGAGTACCTTTGTAATGTCCCCTTTGTTTAACCCTGACTTCCATTTATACACCTCTATCATGTCGCCCCTCACTCTACACGTCTCTCGAGGGAATGCAAATTAAGATGCTTTAACCTGTCTCTGTATTCAAGGTTCCTAATGCCCGGGATTAGTCTTGTCATTCTCCTCTGGATTCTTTCCAAGGATTCTATATCCATTCTGTAATACGGTGACCAGAACTGAACTGTGTAATCCAGGTGAGGTCTTACAAGCGCTAGATATAATTTTAAGATGACCTCGCTAGTCTTGTAACTAACACTCCTTTGTATGAACCCAAGTACTTTATTAGCCTTGTTACAAGCAAAAACACATTGTT